CAAAAGGAGTTGTGAATTCTTTTTGTATTTAAAATCATTCTATAAAAAAAGATTATTAAATTTAGTTTTAAGCTTATTTATGAACAACTCAACTAAATAAAGTAAGCAAGACTTAAACTTAATTTGCATTTGTTAACAAAAAACTTTTTCACCGGTTTTATCGATAAATTCGTGTCAAAAAGACAAAGCTTTACCTGTTAAAACTTCCAATCCGAACTTCGTATATGATAAAATTATACGTCAGCCTGAAAGGGCACCCAAACTAAATACAAAACCTTAATAAGGTACTGCATAATGCAAGGTACCGGAGAAGCCAACTATCCAGTTATAAATCGCAACGTAAACTAGCATATAAAAGGGGTGATATAGGAGACGCAGAAAAGACCCAGGAATTAAAAAGAGTAAGTAATGCAGGGGATGTTTTCACAGAATATATCAAACATTATGAGACTAAAAAAGAGGAAATGAAAGGTTCAGGAATCAGAGAAAGAAGTGGTAATGTGATGTTTATTAATAACCCTAAAACTTTGCTTAAAAAGTTAGAATTAATTATCGGTGAAATAATAGCTGGTAATACATCAACTGACATGCGTAACATGGGAGTTTCAATAATGTGCACATTATTTAGAACCTCAGCAATTAATAAAGTTCAACATGCAAAATTTTATACGCAATATTTTAAAATAAGGTAATTATATAACATATGGAACGATAAATAGTTTTATCCTCCTATAAGGTTAAAAACAAAGGAAATAATAAACCTGGAAACTTTATTACCAAATTCACAAGACCAATAGTCTTAGACAATAATCATGAGTATGCTATTGGTTTAAACAGAATAATCAACATGCGCTTTACCTGGTTCAATGTAAATGCTGGGTACGATAATCAGCTTAACCCATTCAGCAGCGATTCAGGAACTAATTTTACAAATATGTCATTTCTGCCAGGTGTATGGAATTATAGTGATTTTGATTCATATATCAAACAAAAGACGGTTATAAAATCATCTCGTAAAGACGATGAGTACCGCATCTCTCTTGCATTTGATGAGACGATATTCAAAGTAACAATAACATTAAAAACCAATTATCAACTTGATTTCACCAAATTCAATTTTTATGAGCTGATTGGGTGTGATAAAAAAGTTCTCACAGCTTTAAGCAATGTAGGCACAAAAGTACCAAATCTGTCTCAAGACACTGATATTCTCAACATTCATTGTGATTTAGTCAGTGATAGTCTTGTTGATGGAGAAGAAAATGACATCGTTTACAGCTTTAGTACAAGCGTCCTAAGAACATCATATAATTTTATTCTTCAACCAAGAAGAATCACATATAATCCAATTAATAAACAAACTATCAGCTCTGTTAGAATGTAAATCACAGATGGTAAAAGACGCGTTCTGGATTTAAACGGAGCTGATACTTCATTCAGTTTGATTTTGAGACGATTGGAACCAATAGCTTAATTTATATAACCAGAAACTCATGAGGGGTTGAAACGTGTAACTCGCGTTCAATGCTCGTGAATATTCACTTTTACCATATTTGGAAACCTTAGTGACAGATATCCATTTTCAACACAATGGCTGCCGCGCGATCACCATGCAGATGTTTTAAGACAAGAGTTCTGCATTTCCGGCTTAACAATACACCGTTAAAAGACAAAAAATGAAAAGAGAAAGTTCCAAAGAATGCTCAGCTTTCTTTTTGTGGAGGAAGAGAAGCTTTTCATCAAGAAATAATCCTTCGAAGAATTCAACATTGTTTTCTTCACGATGGATCTCTGGTCTGTTTTGAAATGCAACCAAGGCAGTGAAGTTTTTGCTGAATTTTCAGGCACATTTTGCACTCTATGGCCAAGACAATTACGTTTTCGAAAGGGAATTAACGTATTTTTAAATGTTTCATAGACGTTTTATAAATTTTTCTCTTCGGCGCTAAAGAAAGATTACAAATTGTGCCCCGATTTGAGATGGATTTTGTGTTGAATTTTGCCATGTGCTCAGCCGATTTCACTTGCGTGAACGGATCCACGATCGAGATAGTGTTTTCCGAATTGCTTTAAAGGATTAAAGTTTTGGATTTTGAATAAAAATTTTCAAGAAACGGCTTCTCTGTCCATTGTTTTGAGTTTGTTCATTCATAAAATTAGCTCAAAACACGATCGTGACTACAACTTAAATATCCAAGCTGAATTTAAGCTTAAATGCTTCTCACATTCATTACACGCATCGCTTTTTGCGAAGATGTCAGGTTCAGGTTTTGGGCACTTTTCGATAGGCAGCTAATCAATTTTATTCGAAAATATTTTTTACTGTTTATTCTAGACTTTTAATATAAGAATTGCAAAAGCCTATTTGCATTATAAGTTTACTGTGCAGAGGGTCAACGAGGCATCGTGTTTTGAAGTGACAACTTCAAGAAGTTGCGAGGACGTCGAAGAGTTTCATAATGTTACGTTTGGCCCGGGTGGTAAGGCAACAATATCCTGCTCAGTGTTTCGGTAAGATTCCTGGTTTCAACCTTTGAAAGCTTTCTCGGCTTTCGGGAGTTTTTCCCCCGTTTGTCGGCCATTTTTTTAAGCGGGCGCGGGAACCTGAAGTTAAACTACGTCACGTTGTTTACGAAGTTTGATTGGTCAGTTATCTCTTCTCGTTCCAAATATGGTACTTTCGATAATGAATAATCACGAGCATCGGACAAAGAAAATATCTGAGAGTTACACGTTTCAACCCCTTATGAGTTTCTGATATCACCTTATAACAAAATAGATGAAACCATATGAATTCATGAGAAATTTTTGACCCAAAGCTGGGTAGATTTGTGTATAAGCACGAAGGAAGTTGTGTAATTGTCGATAAGCTGCATCTTCATTAACCAAAACAGTTGTCAAACCATTTGCTAAAAAAGCACTGCAATCCGGTATTTCAAATGCTGGTGATAAATTAGGTAAAAAAGCTGCTGAAAAAAGTGGTGATTTTATTATGAAAAAGCTGGCAAGTCAATTCTCTAAAACCAAAACTCGATCAGTAAGACCAAAATATTCCACTCAAACAAGAGGAATCAACAGTCATGGCAATAAACCGTTTGATATCTGCAACAGGAATAAAAAGGAGACGACGAAAAAATAGTGTAACCTAATAATATCAACGGCTTTTAGATAAAGTGATTATTTGCAAGGAAATGAACTGGTGAGATCTCAGCTAGAGGATGTCACCAGATCACCTGGCAACAACCAACACCAAATAAAGAATGGTTATAAATTTACAATAGATGACATTTCATTTTATGATTGGTATTATTTTGAGGTCCAGTTTCAGCTTTAAAAACTTGCCGATGGAGCTGGATATGCAGCGGCTGATAGAATAACAGTAATTAATGGTGCTCATCTACAAAGAATCTATTGGAGTATTCTGATGATTACAGCAGATCAGTTGCAAAAAACAGTCTATGGTATTTAGATACTGACAATACCACAGCAAACACAAATACCGGATTTGAAGCTCACCCAAGCAAATAATAATGACGGTGGCGGAGGAGCAAAAGATGTCAATGTAATAATTCCACTAAACAGATACTCGTTTTTTGAAGAGCTTGAAGACAGAATGCTAGTTCCCATGCAGCTCCAATTTAACATAGAACTAAATAATGATGATGAATTGATACATAAAGCCCACGGTGCTGATAATGGCCGTATTGCTGTTAATAGGTTTCTTCTATGGATTCCAAAATTAACTCCAAAAGACAGCATGTATGATAAATTCGTCAGCTCATTTCTAAGAGAAACACAATGGACATACATGAGGGAATTGTACGAAGTTTCAGCGCCAACTCAAGCAAGTGGATTTTTCCAAATATCTGCTAGTATCGATAATGTCAAACGTATTCTCATTTACCTAAAAAAATTCTTACAGAGATAACAATGGAGATAGGCATGCTGAAAATAGTCCATATCTAAGGAATACTTTTTCACTACCAGGAGGGGCATCTCTGAGCAACTGTCGGTTAGAATATGGTAATGGCGTCTTTTACCCAGAAACTGAGTATGATAGTGATAGTAAAGGGAGGATTTTCAATGATCTTATGGCGTATACTATGAGAAAGAATGATTACAATACTGGCCGCAATTGAATCTTGCTAATTACAACCGTCTGTTCCCACTGATTTATTTTGATCTGACTTATCAGACAGAAAAGGTAACAAAAGATCCCAAACAGCTGATTTTCAGATACAGGTTATCAGCCAGTGCAAATCAAAATTTCGCTGTACATGCTGTTGTTCTTTATGAAGAGATCTTTAAGATTGATAAGATTGGTAATGAGTTGGTTATTGTGTAATTTAAATATGTTTTTTAATCGAATATTATCTAATATATAATACATAGAAGATATGACAATTCTTTATGAGATAAAAGTAAAACTATCAGAAAACCAGAAAAAGGAATCTTTCCCGGGCTTTTCATCAGCGAGAGACAGTTTTTCTTAGATTAGCAAGCAACACGCTTTCCGGAAGTGATACACTTTATGTTCCATCAAATATTGTAAAGAGATTAAATAAGAACCGTCGCTTAAACAAAGGTATGGATATCAAATTAGCCAATATATACGAAAGCAAATAGGAGGTAACCTATTAACCATTATTTTATCAATGGGCAGAGCTTTGGCACCAACAATTGGTAAACCACTTGGTTTGTCAGCATTAGCAGGTCTTGCTAGTGAGGGCGCCAGTCAAATGGTAAAAAATATATTTGGAGGTAACGTACTGATGGATTTTGCATCAGAATTAAACAAAAGGGTTGATAATAGACGGCGGCCAAGGAGTAACCAGCTGGCTGACAGAATTCTTGCATCAGCATATGGGAGGCAAACAGGAGGCTTTTTGATCACACTGAATGCAATCGGCCAGTTGATGCCATGTGAAGACCTATCCACAAAACAAAAGCGGGATCTTCTCAGTGCCATCAAAACCGGTTCCGATTTTCATATAAACCAACTCAAGCACAGATGGGTAGCGGCATTGGAACTATTCTTGTAGCCATTAGTATTCCATTAGCTGTTGACCTGATTAAAAAAAAAGACTGGCGGAAGTCCACCAAGATGTGGGAGAAGTCCTCTGCAAGGAAAACAAGATGGCCATGGACACCCTCGATTGGGTATGTATGAACCACCTCCTCCTTTTATTGGAACATGAGAACAGATGCATGATGGTAGTAAAAAAAAAAGAACTCGAACGGGCCACGGTCTGCTATTTGGCAAAAATTCACCCATTAAAAACATACCTCTGTTAAACCTCATACTGTTTTTGGGTTTAAGGTGTTTTTATAGGGTTGCTCATTGGTTGATCTAACAAAATGGTGTAAATATTTGAATATACCTATAAAAGATGTGCTGTCGAGAGATCAGACAGTTCCTCACAACCATAGGCAAGCATTATGCATTTATAATCTTGAGCCATCTTATATGAGTGGGTCTCAGTAGGTCTCAACATACGTAAAAGATGGTGTTATCAATTATTTTGACAGTTTTGGGATGCCTCCGTTTCAAGAAATTGCTGATCATGCCAGAAGCAAGAATCTGACGCTATTGCATCAAAACAACCAGATACAAAATATTAACACAACAACATGCGGTTACCTCTGTTTTACTTTTGGAATGAGATGAGCAAGGGTACAACATATTATGATCTGCTGGATGTATTTAACATTCATGACACAATGAAGAATGAGCAGTTTATAGAAAGGTATTTAAAAATAAATAATCTAATAGTATGGAGTCAGGTACTATAGCGGAACAGGGTATGGGTGCATTCGTTCACCATGCTATTCCATTAATGGCAAGAAGAATGTAGAAATGGCAAGATATTATGGTTCTGAAGCTTTGAGAAATAAAATCTACAAAAGAAGGCCATAAATTGTGGATTGAAAAAGCTCACTCCAATGATAGACAATGTTGGAAAGCAAGCTCTTGATCACTTGTCAACAAAAATTGGGCCAAAACTTAAATATAAAACCAATAGAAAGGATCTGAATGTGGGCGCAATAGATATTCATAAAGCAATTGGTAAATTTCCTCGCCCCAAAGCTGTTTTCACTCCAGGCAAATACAAATAAATGGGGCCGTACTCAACCGAGAATGAAGAAAAAAGTATTGTTTGTGAAAGATGGAACCGTAAAATCAAAATCAAGTTGTGGAAGCAATTTACTGTCCAGGGTAATACAATATATCTTGATACGCTGTCAAAAATACTGAAGCAGTATATCAACACTAAACATAGTTCCATTAAAATGACACCTGTAGAAGCCAGTAAAAAGAGGAATGAAAGTACCGTGTATTTTAATCTATATGGTGATATGGAGCAATTGTCATCTAAACCTAGGTTAAAGATTGGTGATAAAATTAGGATAAGTAAATACAAAAGAAAGGTATTTGATAACGCTACACACCTAATTGGACTGAAGAAATATTCCTGGTGGATAAAATTCAGTCCACAAATTCAATTACCTACAGGTTAAAGGATCTCAACAACGAGAAGATACAAGGGAGCTTTTACGAACCTGAGTTACTATAAGGCAAAACAAGATAAATTCCGTATTGATAAAGTCATTCGGAGGGATTACAAAAAGAAACAAGCTCTTGTGAAGTGGTTGGGATATAGCAACGACTTTAATTCTTGGATTCCACTGAGTAGTTTAAAAGATTTATCTAACTAATATATAAATGACTGATAAATACCAAAATATATTGAAAAGCTGCATTCAGATATTCACAACAAAGATGATGAACTTGACAAGCTGTGTGATAAAATCCATAAAGCGGAGGAAGATCTTGCTACGATGAGGCATAAACAATCTCTGATGAAAATGTATTTGAAGAAGGTGAAAGAAATGGATGAAGGGGTCTAATAGTAAACTAGGAAAATCTCACAAACCATATGAAACAACCGCGAAAATGAAAATGGCCAAGCAAGCTACAACTAAAACATTTTTTCTGACCCTATCCGGCTCGAAGATCAGTATTGTGGTGACAGCCATCTTACCAAAAAACGAAGGAGATTATAATGCGAATGACTAAAACTCATTTTTCTACCTTTAACCGCCTCAATTTTCACTTTCAGAGTATCCACAGGATAAGCCTCGTGGTATATAGTTGTGGCTTTTGGCTGACAATGTACGTGATCTATGCTTGCCTCGTGGTACCGTCTATTACATCTACCCGTCAACGCACGCGCAAAACATGTTTTGTTTTCACGTGACGTCAAACGTCTGAGTTTCAGGTGCCAAACTTTGAAGTTTTCCCGCCCAAATGTGAAGTTTTACTTCTTGCCACTGTTCAAAGGGAAGATGTTTTCAATCAACAAGAAAGGAAGAAATTATCAGAGAGGTGTCCCACTTTCAAGCGATTTGCGGGATCAAGTAAAAGAACTTGCGTAGGATTATTGTTTTTCAGAAGTTGGGCGAAGGTTACCCATCAGCAAGGGTGCAGTTTGAAAAATCGTTAAGCAGTACAACTTGACTGGAAGCACGGCTCCAAAAAAAGTTGAATCACGTTCGAACAGTTCCTAGGTGGACTTTCCAAGACTATTCTGTTGGAGACCATGATGCAAGCAAGAGGTTCGTCCTCTCTTAAAGAACTGCGCGATGATTTGGCCATTCACGGTGACTGCGGAGAACTGTCAACATCAACAATTTCCAGAAATATTAGGAACAAACTTCCAAGTGGCCGCAACTATTCCCGAAAAAGATTGGGGAAATGTGCGTCAGAGCGTTTTACTCCCGAAAATATAGTGTACACCCAGTTGTACATTGCCTATTTAAAAGACAAAGATCCTTCCTCTGTTAAGTTTTTCGATGAGTCAGGTTTTCAGCTGCCTGATGCTGGTCACAGAAACTTTCGTTTCTCACCTGTCGATGAAGACTGCGTGGAAGCGCGAAGATACTTGTCTACCGCAAACCTCACCCTGAACTTTCTGGTTGGGTATGATGGAGTAAAATATGGAAACATCATAGAAGGAGCGTCGAACTCTCTACAGGTTTGACGATTCTTTGATGAGGCTTCCCAAACAGTTGATCCAATGACGCAAAGACCAATTCTCGAAGTTGGCGACATTTTTGTGGTGGACAATCTAGCCGCGCATCATGGCTAAGCGGAAAGAGCTCTGCGAAGCTTCCTAAATGATTTGGGAATGGAGCTCGTTTTCCTCCCAGTGTATTCACCAGATCTGAATCCCGTTGAGGAGGTATTTTCGAAGCTGAAATATTTGTCGAAGTACAGATACCAGGAACTAGTGTGGGATAACCTGGAATATGCAGTGTTGAGAGCGGTCGGGGATGTTACAGCGGCCGACATGTACGGCTACTACAAGAATGTGGGTTATTTTTTTTGAAAGACAGAACTGTAATTTGGAACAAATACAGTAATGTCATTATTGCCGTGGACGAGTGAGAAATAAAGTAAAATATTGTAATCATCTGACCCAGAAATGTTCTTGCCAAAGACTGTACTTAATTTGTTTGAAACTCGGCTATAAATGTGTTTACTAAAAATAAAGCTTATAATATTTCGGCGGTTTTATTTTCCGCCAAATTTTGTTCTGTTATTATCACAATATGCAATGCGAAAAGCCAAAAGGAAAAAGGCCTGTTACTAACACAATTCCGAATGTATTTGTCAGGAGTTTTTTCGTCACAGAATTTTTACAAAGTCCTGTTCTCAGACGACGCTCGCTGTCTGCATTCCCTTGCATGAAATAGTATGGTGTGAACACACTACAAGCACATAATCAATACCCCATCAAATATTAAACTACAATAAAACGTCAATATTGTCTTAAAGTTCGTTTCGATTTATTGAATTTATCAGACAAAACGGCAAGTTTAATTGATCATTTGATAAGTTTGTGCATGCATAAACGTACACATGCG